AGGGAAACGTGCTTGCTTTCTGCCTGAACTGCTCTTGTTCATCGGTGGGAAATGCTGCATTAGCTCTCAAACCAAAACATTTAAAGTGCTCTCTGAAATGTTGACGACTTGCCAAAAGTTTCAACGTCAAGCAGTACGACATCCAATACTCTTTCGAGCCTGCCTCTAGTATGTGCTTGTGTCAAGTGAATTTCATTTGGATTTGCTTAGGCTTATGAGGGATCAAGGTGTGAGCCTCGGTGGGTGCAGTAGAAGCAGGTATGGAGAGGGAGAGAGAGAGAGAGAGAGAGAGAGAGAGAGAGAGAGAGAGAGAGAGAAGAGAGAGATGAGAGAAGGAAGTAATATGTAAGCAAACAGAAAGACACAAACAGGAACTCTAAGAAACATATGAGGGGACATGTTAACATTGGCAAATCTTGGCAAAGATTATACTGATATGCGAAATTTTTTTGAAATTTATTATTTATTTATAAAAATGTATTTGGTTGTTATAGGGTGTCGCTACGCAGCTTGGACTCATGGTGATCCTCCTGGTTTCAGTCTCCCCAGCAGTGGAATTACAGGCATGAGTCACTGCACCAGAGTGGCCAGCTCACTGCGCTTTGGGTGTGGGGCTGGTGAAGCAGTGCTGGGGATAGAACCACAGTCCCTGCACTGCCTAAGCTTGCCTAGGCAGGTGCTTTAGTCTACTGAGCTATCTTGACCACCCCTGGAAATTTAAAATTATCTGAAATAAAATTTAGACACTAAGACAACGGTATATGTCATAAGTTTATATATAGATACATAATACCTATGTGTGTATATATAGATATGTGGAATATTAATGTTTATAGGTTAAACTGGATTTATAAACAACTTTATTTTTCTTTGGTAATTATGTTTTTGTGTTAATTGACTCTTTGTTTTGAAACATTGTTAAAATGCTGTAATTTTTTTTTTTTTTTTCAGAACTGGGGATTGAACTCAGGCCCTTGTGCTTACCAGGGAAGCACTTATTCCACTGAGCCATCTCCCTGGCCCCTAAATATAATTTGAAGAAAGAAATACCATAGTGTTTTACTACCTTAACTTACACACAGTTTTGAATATAAATATAATCTAGGTAGTATAACCTAGAAAATCATGTTGAGATTATTTCCTTCAAAAATTCTGTCTGCCTTTGTAAGGTGCATAGTACATTACTATAGTAAGGCACATGATACATTACTTTATTAGTACATGGGTGATTTTACTAAAAGCTAAAATTTTATGTTTTGATGGGCATAAGATCTTAATTTATCTACATTTTCTTCACTCCACTAAAAATAAATTAAACCACAGATGTTATATTACTCATAAGGCAGCTTTTAACTCACAAAGTATCAAAATGTGCTACCTTTTCACTAGCATCTTTTCCTGTTGTTCGCCAGAGATTAGTGCCTATGAAATCAATCACCCCTGCTCCTGGCACATATGATGAACCTCGAACTTCTTTTAAGACCTCAAAGAAAACATCAGGACTGAAAAATACCCCCTTTGGTCAAAGTGCTGCTCGATTCATAGAGAACTCCAGGCGAGAGGAAATGCCAGGTTAGCAAATCTGTTTCTACTGTGTAATTTGATGTAACTTAATATTCTTAGGTAGGTGAATGCTCTGGAAAGTGTGTGTAATTATTTTAGGCAAATGATTCTTTAGAGCATCAGCTGTGCACTAAATGCAGGCAAATCAAGATAAGGTGCAGTTTTAGTGATTCCCTTTTAACATGTCATACATCTTATTTGTAATTTTCTGTTGTTTCTTTACTTAGTAAATTTTCTAATTTTCTCTTGTAGAAATTATATATATAATATATACATATGTAGGTGAATATATGTATAATATTATACATTTAGTCACTACTAGAAATATAATTTACAATACTCAGCGTTTTTTAACATTTTATGTTTAATCACATATTCAAGTATTCTCAGTCGGTATTCTAGTATTCAGAGTTAAGAAAATAGAAACAAAATAACACATAATTGCTAGCATGCAGTTCTGGTTGCCTATTGCCATGTAACAAATAGGTTCAAAATAAAAGACATTTATACTATATTTCATTTCATTATTTTGTGGAATGGTTAGAACATAAGACTCAAATGAGTCTGTCACATGAATATGTATGTGGCTTCCCAGTGACTGTTTTAGTCATGTCTGTTTTTTAACATGTGACTTGTGACTTCACAAAACCTGCCAGATGCTCCAAAGCTTTTCCTGACACAATCAGAAAATGCCCAGAACATCCCTCTTCTTCCTCCCCCTCTTCTTCTTTGTCCCCCTTCTCTTCTCCTCTTCCTCCTCCTCCTTCTTCCTCTTCTTCATGTTTTAGCCAATCTATCACTCAAGGCAGCATGCATCAAAGTGAAAGATATGAAGCTTTACCTCTTAATTAAGGGGTAAGGAAGAATTTATCTTCATTTTTAGTTTATTTTATGGTCTCTGGCCACAAAATATTAATTTTTTCCTCTCTGCCCCCTTCTCAAGGATCCTAAAGACTGATGCAATTATGGCATGATCTCAGTTTAGGGTCTTGTCATATAAGTTGGTTTAGGTGCACTTTAGCAGCTTTGGGTGTGGTTCTCACACAACTGAGTATTATTATTCCCTACTTGAAGACCTATGTAATAGAGATGAGTTGGTTCATGCAATATTCAATGATGGAAGAGAGATGAGATGATTATACTACATATTGCTATTCAAATAAGGGATACTGGAGGGCTACAGCAGTTACACAGCGATTCTGAAATGAAACCTTGTACTAGTTGCTGTTTCCTTGATTAGGGCACAGTTTGATTCTCTGGAAATTTTATATGGTTTTTGTTTTGTCATTTGAACTTTTGGTTTTATCCTTTGAGTCATCCTTTTTCTATGAGAAATAGGATACTTTTGGAGTTAGAGCCTTTTAAGTGTGCTTTCTACTCATAGAAGACTGGGGATTTATAAGCTACCTTTCATTTTTGTACTGTTGTCTCTTTCATCTTAAGTTGGTAAAATTCCTTATAAAAACTTTATGAGTATTAATTTATAGTCAAGTCTAGTAGGCAAGAACCACCTGAATATTATTAGAAAAAACCTATTTTAGATAATCTCTGAGGCTGCTGGTTTCAGTGTCCTTAAATTCTAAGAAGTATTCATATTTTCATGGTATATAAGGCCTAGCATAAAGGCTATGCTTTCAGGGATCATTTCTAGGGTATATTGAGTCTAGGCCATAAGATATGAAAGTTTTACATGCCCTTGTATTTAACTGAGTGCTTCTGTGAAGCACCACCTTAAATATGAAAATTTAGCAAAGGATCTTAACCGTCAAATTCTGCTTTTGGTTGTTGTCCTCCAGCCACTTCTTTCAGAGATTTTCCTGTGGGGAAAGCTTTGGAGAGATAAATTGCTCACTATTTTCTATAAATTCTGCTTGAGAAGTGAACACTTTATAGCTCATTTCTACCCATACTCTCTAATATGTGGGTAAAAGCAACTATTGACACTTTGGCATTCAGAGTGGATGTTTTAAAAGTTAGATTTCATCAGGTTATTCAGTATTTTAGGTATTACCTTAAGCATTATTTTTGCTAAAATTTTGTTGCTGCATATACAAATACTCTTTTCTCTAACTTCTAATAATATTTTTCTTAGTTTATTGCCAACAGTGTACTTAAAACTATTTTCCTAAATCTTGCTCTGGGCTCTGACTCATTGCCTGATTCTAAAGTTACTGCTGCAAATTTTAGTTTTGCATACAGTTGATCACGTCTCATCTTATTGAGAGGAAAGTTTCATTCTTTTCCTCTTCAGTGTTGGCCAGCTGTGGTAGCATTCATGGCTAATGTATATAGTAGAAATGACACATTAACACTTCTTAGGCTGATAAGCTATGGAGTATCTTCTTGGGCCTCTTCAGACTGCTGGTCTTGTGTCCTGAACCTTTGTGTAGAAATTTGATGAGTTTTCTGAAGCACTAACCCCAGGTGACTCACTGGTCCGATTAACTCATTGGTATTTACCATGATTCTGAGGTCTCAATTATTTGTAGACATTAATTTATTGAGTAACCCACTTATTTTAAGATTGGTTCTTATTGTTGATTTGTTGGTCTAATATATTATAATATAAATAAAATTATAAATTCCTCAATAGTTTATTCCCAAAGGGCAAGTTAGTAATGACCTCTAAAAATCCAATCCTAAATCTTAAGTATTTTAGGGATTAGCAAGAGTGGTTATAAAGTAATTTTAGTTTCTTTCCATGTAGCTATCAAGGTACATAGCTGATTTGACCACCTAATAAATAGTTGTAAATTACTGTTGCAAGGCACCCCTACATCTTCAAATTTCACTTAGTAGATACCATCGGGGGTTCCTGGACATTTCTTCACTTAACGAACAGAAAATGAATATGAAAAACCTCTAAGCTGAGTGAATCATAGGATCAGAATCGTTTTCTTGGTCAGAAGCTTAGAAAGATTAATACTGAGATGTATATGCCATGAGGGTCCATAATCCTGAAGACATGCTATGGTTAAGTATATAGGCTTACCTGCAATGTTAGGTTTTGCTCTTGTACCATAAGGAGAGGGAACATACATACTTATCTTCTAAGTACCTTGAGTAGTGGATTAAATAGTTTTTTAATTACACTTTCTATTTTTCTTCTTGCTAAACATTACCAGTGGAAGAAACGTTTTAAGACAGTAGGAATAAGTATTAGCACTTAGTTTTTTGAGAGTTGGTATAGACATTTGAGGAATAGGTTTAGAAAGGTAGCATTTGAAAAATTGTGAGGAATTTATATGCTGTTTGAGAAAAACCTTAGATGTGTTCAAATGAAGATCAACCTAAGGAATGATTTGATCAATTTGAGATCTTGATTGAACCGAAATATTATATATCCTAGGCATACTCAGAGCACCTATGTCAACTGTTTTCTCTCTTATGATGACAAAGGAAATTGCACCACAGTATTAATCAACACAATGCATCCTTCATTATGGAAGATTAACAAAATAATTGATGAAATGGTAAATTTATATTGAGTAATGAGCTTCTGATCTTGTACATTCTTTGTGGACATGCACCAGTTCACATACTGGGCAGTACTGAGATAGTAAATTCCTATAATTTTCAGATGAGAGAGTTGAAGTCCAGAAAAACAAGTGAGAATGTGAAATTTCATACATATTAAATTTCAGAGCTAATTTCATAGAATCCATGTAATAGGAGCACAACCAACCTAAGTGTTCCTTCAAGTATATTATGTTGTATGCTATGGATATCATGGCTCATTGCAATTGATTTTTAAAAAATACTGAATTACAGAGGACATTCTCAAATATTGACTGTCTCAGTGAGTCTTTTTTAACAGCATAGAAACATGTTTGTATTTTCTAATTTAATTTAATTTTGAAGAATAAAAACAAAAGCAAAAACAAATAGCAAAAACAAAGACATAAACAGAACATATAACAAATACATATGTTACAGATTTTCAAAACAAGAATAGCTAAATCATAATGGTTGTTGTATTATCTATTTTATTGTCAAATCTTTTGCTCAGATTAACAGATATAGTTATGCAAGATTGGACAGATAATTGAATATTAATGCTTGTTTTCAATATTATTTGGAGTGAAAACATAAACTTTATTCATTTAGATTGCCACTTTAGAAAAATAGTCCATGACATAATTATATACCAAAAATAAATGGAAAAGTTTAAAATAATTGCCATGTTAGGGAGGTTGAGTGATAGATGATGTAATTTTTTCGTCAAATTCATTTTAATGCTGCTACATCAGCCTAGAGAGACATGTTTTTTACCTTTGAGGTTTATTTTATTGTCTATTGAGGTCTTACCTATACACAGTAAAAACCATTCATTTTAAGTTCACAGTTTGATAATTTTTGGTAAATGTATGCATCAAGTCATCCATAGAGGCTCATATAAAGCCAAAAAAATTATTTTGGGTCTTAGAATTGCAACTTATGGGGCCAGGGACATAGCTTAGTAGAATAAGTGATTGCCTGGAAAGCACAAGGACCTGAGTTCAATCCCCAGTTCTGCCAAATAAAATAAAATAAAATAAAATAAAATAAAGAATAGAATAGAATTACAATTTTTGGGGTACCGAGTCTAGTGGAGACCAGAATGTGTTCTATTAAGCAGAGGATTAAAGGGTACTTCTAAATGTAAAAAGAGGAGGTTTATTTATTTATTTACTTATTTATTTTTGGAGGCAAGGCCTCACTATTAGTACAAGCTGGTTCTGTTTTTTTTTTTTTTTTTTTTTTTGCGGAACCGGGGATTAAACTCAGGCCATTGCGCTTGCCAGGGAAGCACTTATTCCACTGAGCCAGCTCTCCAGCCCCTACAAGCTGGTTCTGAACTCTCTATGTAATCCAGGGCGGCCTAGAACTCACAGCCATACTCCTGCCTTAGCCTCCCAAGTGCTACGATAATAGGCCACCACACCTGATCCCAAGGGAGGAAGTTTTCATTTACCTTGTTTGTCAAGAATGATGACTTGGGATAAACTTACTTTACAGCTCACTTGTCCAGCATAGATCAGTTTAGGTCATACCATTTTACCACTGAAGAGTTCAGCTTTTACATTTCTCGGGATGTTCCTTCACAGTAAGTCATTATTTTTTATATTAGTACAAAATGGTGTCCAGGGAGTCATAGTAGTTACTTTCTTCCACACTGACAACCACCACTGCAATCAAGATTTGGAACATTTTTATCCATCCTAAAAATTTCCCCCTGAACCTTTGTAGTTAATGTCTACCTCCATTCATCTGATCCCAGACAACCAGCTTTGACCCTATGAGTTTACTGCCTCTTTCTCCTTCCTTCCTTCCTTCCTTCCTTCCTTCCTTCCTTCCTTCCTTCCTTCCTTCCTTCCCTTATTCCCTCCTCTTTCTTTCTTTCTTTCTTTCTTTCTTTCTTTCTTTCTTTCTTTCTTTCTTTCTTTCTTCCTTCCT